TCCACACTACCCTTGCTTGCATCAGTCAAAAGTGTTACAACTACTTGGAGTCTTTTCTGCATGATTGCTCTGTGAGAGAGCTTTAATAAGGGAATGAAATTTAAAAATATTCAAATATCTATTTTGTAGTTTATTACTAGAACCTGCAGCCACTTACTAAGTTGTATGTAATAGAGGACTGTGTGTGGGAAATGAGTAATAGACATGAATCACTCTACTTTCCCTTTCTGAACTTTGAGCTTGGCCTGTCTACAGAGAGAGGAACACAGTATTAGGACAGCAAAGCCCCAGCAAGCCTGTGTGGGTTCTGAGATGGGTTTAGATGCATTCAGACCTCATTCGGGAAACAGTGTCCCGTCAGATTGTATATGTACTCTACAGTCGCTCTGGCCCGTGGCCCTGCATGCCACTGTACCGTCTCCCTCCCAGCCCACAGAGCCACACAGAGGCTGAAGGTACTTCACATCTCACTGGTGTGGAGAATCACGATCAAGAAACCACAGATAAGTCGAGGTATCCATTGCTCTTCCCTTTTCTCTCATATGTGTGGGTGCTTGAATTTGGTGAAATGCGTTTAGCAAACCAACTGTGTGTCTGTAATACTGTGAATTCTTGAGTTTTGCATTAAGTGTCTCCCCCATTTCTGTAATTTGTAGAGAAATATGTACTGGTGTTGAGTGTCTTCCAAGCATTTTATGGAAATGGAGGCTCCATTCCTTAGGAGTGAAAGCTGGCGCCGGCCCTTGGCTTTTGTTCTGTCCAGGTGAACTCTCATAATTCTTGTTTTACCCTTTGGATTTGCACTTTACATATATTTTTGCTCTATTACTTAAACATATAGCAGCTCTTGCCAATAATGCCTAACGTGACTGCGTTGAGAAAGTGGCAGATCAACACATATCATACAGAGTTGTTCTCTGCCTGGCGGGACAAAATCAACCACATGCTCTCAGTTCCTCCCAACTAACGACATTACTTGACATTACTGCCTGAATGTGTCTTCACAGTAGCAAAATTGTTTGAGATTCAGCATTTGGAATCTTGTGTCATTTTGCATTAGGTCTACCCACCATAATGAGTTTCTCATTTGATTGTTTTAATTATTCAAGAAATCATGAAGTCACAACACTGGAAGGGAGCTTCAGAGATCTAGAGTGTTCCAAGCAGAAAACACATTTCGTTATACCAGGCAGTTAGCTGTGGCTGAGATGTAAACGAGAGAGTCTAAAAGAATGTTGAAGGAATAGCTGTTTTTGAACATTACTTAGTAATGGCATAAGTGGGAAGAGAGACTTTCAGCGCCTTGAGACAGGGTGCTCTCTGGAACCAGGTTTGTTCCTCTTACTGCAAGTGTCTATGACACTTATTTTGGCCCCGGCCCTGTGGTGGGGGAGGTAATTATTGCCTTCATCCACATAAATTCCTTCCTACACATCCCCCTTAGACCACCCCAGGGACAAAATTGAAACGGAAATCTAGGGGCACTTAAAATTCACCCTACCCCATTTGGCCATGATTCCTGGGCTTACAGCACTGCCCTTATGGAATATTGTATTTTCATTTTCTGAAATTCATTTTATAAAAGTATAGGCCAGGTGCCATGGCTCACACCTATAATCTTAACACTTTTGGGAGGATCACTTGAGGAGTTCAAGACCAGCCTGGGCACCATAGCAAGACCCTGTCGCTACCAAAAATTTAAAAATTAGTTGAGTGTAGTGGCACACTCCTGTATTCCCAGCTACTCAGGAAGCTGAGGCAGGAGGATCACTTGAGCCTAGGAATTCAAGGATGCAGTGACCTGTGATTGCACTGCAATCTGGCCTGGGCTGCAGAGCAAGACCCTGAATAAATAAATAAAAGTATAATTTATTTTTACCTGACATTAATCACTTCTTAAGGCCCAAATTTTGGTTTTTAAGCAAAAGGATAGCTCTAACTGTGGGTCACAGTTACTGGACATTCACTAGATGAGATTCCTTTGGTTATGGCTGTTCATAGAAGTTTAATTGTATGTAAGTGTTCCTGTTCACTAAGATTTATATTTAAAAGTGAAAGAAGGCACTTTACCAATACATTCTTATTTTTTTCTCCTTTAAAATAATGTTGTTGAATTTTTCCCAGTATGAAAGCAGATATGTATTAACTTGAGATGCGAAAACGCAGAAATTAAGTTCATGTTGAACACTGAGTTATCTAGATGATCTTTGAGATTTGGATGTTCATATCAACCGTGCTGAGTGCTCACGAGGCTTTAAACTAGGCACTGGCGGTGCAAGGCGTCTGAGGCCCATTCCCAGGCTGGGCAGAGGTCACACAGTGAGTAAATGGGTCATTTCAGTACAATGTGGTCGTGATAGAGGCACGCCAAGGGTGCCACTAACCCAGCAGGTATGGCAGGAGGAGCTTCACAGAGGAAAGGACTTGAGCTCAGTGTTAAAAGATGAGGAGTGAGTCATAAGGGGGAAAAATGGAAATGACTTTCCAGGCTTCAGAAATAGCATAAACAAAGGCTTGAGTGCTGGAGTCAGTGTGGTATGTCCAGGGATCACAAGTGGGCTGGAGCCGCCGGAGAACAGCCAAGTGGCTCAGCTGCAGTCCCGGAACCAAGCTCTCATCACTATCAGATGCTGCTGCTCCCTGGCCTCAGAGGAAGCAGCACACGGCTCACCAGGAGGGGTTTCCGCAGGGCCTCCTCCTGCAGCCAATGCTACTATCAGTTTATAGTATAATAGTATCAGTTTCTTTTTCTTTGGAAATCCCTAGAGCTGTTATCTGAAAACGACCCAGGATAACTAATTTTGGATCTTTGGGTGCACAGCCTCTCACTGGAGTCTGGGAGGAGGAGGTGGAGACTATTACATGCACAGCCTGCAACCAGGGACTCCCATACCAATGCCAAAAGTGTGCTGGGCTCAGCTGGTCCACTTTGGTAAAGGAAAGCCCTGGACCTGCGGCAGGAAGGGATTGTTCTATCGAGTGTGGCACTGCACGGACAGGCGCTGCCGCGTGTTTGGGTGCAGCTGCTGCCCTCCACTTCCTGCTCTTGCAAGTCACAGGTCATTCCAGTCCAATGTGGGGGTTTCTCTTCACAGGGGCACTTGCAAGGGCAAGGGAGAGATGTTTGTCAGTTCACGTCAGGTCTGCCTGGGAGACCCAGCCCTGTGGAGGCAGGAACGCTGCACCACATGGGGGCATGGCAGTGCCTGTCTTTGCTCTTACGTCATTTGCCTTTTCCTTGTAGGACCCAAAGATCTATGTCCAAAACAGTCCAGAAACATCTGTTTTCCTGTTTAAACTGCAGCTCAGCTTCATAACCAAGAACCACATGTCAACCCTTCAGGGTTGTGGTTTGTATATTTAACTTTAAACATTATACTTTCCACCAAGAAGCCTACTTAGGTTTGACACATGAAAGCAGTGTCTAAAAATTAGATCTGTCCTAAACTGGAATGGGATGACTTCCTGGCATGTCCCATACTAGGGAATTTTTTCTTTTAACCAAGAGTATGTAGGCTTTGCCAGCTATGTTGAAAGGGAGATTAAAGGCTTGAGTAAGGGATGAATTTAATCATTCTTAAGGTCCCTTCCAGTCCTGTGATTCTATGATTCTATGAGTCTTGCTTATTACTGGACTTGCCTAACCCATCACCTGACCTGCCCGCATATTGCTGCCTTCGCTTGGATAAAGGAGAGTCTATCACCACATGCCTTTGTTGTCTTCCATCATACCAAGTGAGTTGCTTTCTGGACTTTTTCCATCTAGAGGCTACTAAGTTCGGTTTTGGAAAAAGATGAAGTTTCTTTTCATTAGTTTGTAGGAAAAAAATTTTTTTAAAGATGCTAAGGGTGGAAATTAGTCATGGTACCATCTCATTAAAAATAGATACCTCAAAATGTTTACCTTTACAAGTCAAGAATAATATCTGACTTGGAAGTGTCAGGAATTGCAGGTTGGCTTAAAAGTTAGATTGAGAATCTGACCTTGATATTTATGATTCTTTTTTCCCTTGGCTATTGGGGATGCATGAGAAGGTGAGCGGTCACTCACAAAGGGAAAATGGTTTGAAAAACGTTTCTCATATATATACTCTTTATCATTTAAGTGGATGGCAGCCTTACATTAGTAGTAGTATGCCAATATGAAGTATGGACCAAAATACTAGTGTCACTCGTAACCATTGTACTCATGTATTTGTGTCTTATACCATTTGCCTTGCTTTTTAAATGACTTTGTTTTTTCAAGGTACTGTCATTTTGCAAAAGGAAATCTTTATATGAAAAGTACAAAAACTGTTACTAACTGGAAAACAGGGAAGGTGCTGGCCCCACATTAGTGCCTGTCTACCACTCAACTTCTAACCAGGGACATGGATCTTCCATTCTGTACCTCCAGTGGGCTGCAGCCCACTTCTGGACCTGGCTGCCATGGGCATGTTATCGTATCGGTATCTTTTTCTTTTTTTGAAGTGAGGAGATTCTTCAGGAGGTCAGGCTGAGAAGGTAATAAGCCTGGCATTGGAACAGATTTCTCCCGTGTGGTCTGGCTGGACCCCTCCGGCATTTGCCACACTCCCTGCCGGTCCTGATCAGTCCTGACTTTGACTTCCTGAATGTGATTAGGTGGTAATGAGCAGGAATTTCTGAGGATGTTGAAATGTCTGTATCCAGGCCCCCATTCAAATGCTGCTGAATATTGTGAATGTTTTTACTCCGCTCACTTTCCCGCTGTGCTTCCCTCTAACCAAAATAGACGTGTAGCCGTTACCAACGTACGACTCTCGCTGTGGAGTTGCCTCCATGGTTTAAAATAAATGTCTGTGAAAACCTTTCTGCAGCTGTGGTCCCGTCACTGTTCCATGCAGCCACACACACACCGACAACCTCGCTGTGCTGTTTAGCCCCATGGGTTCTGTCCAGTTGGTGGGAAGGGGAGCTTCCAACCACTCCGCCTGGTCTAGACGCCAGGGAGAGCTGCTGTCTGGAGGTGAATTTGGGCCCGTTCACCATAGTCTAGCACGTATACGGGCTGTGGCCGGGGAGCCCCTTTCCTTTGTCATGGAAGTTGGCTTTTTCCTGCATTTAGTACTTTCCAAATGAGGACTTCCGGGCAAACACTGCCAGGGAAAGCCTCTTTTAAAACTTGTGGGGTTCATTTTATGGAGAAGGAAAACAGGTACAAAGATACCAAGTGACCTGCCTGTTACGGAATCACCGTTGAGGGGGTGGCTGAGCTGCCCTGTCCCGGTGCTGCCAGCACAGCCTTGCGCACATCCAGCACTGCTGAGGCCCATCTTCCTCCTGCAGAAAAGGAGGCATGCAGTTAAATGGAGCTGGTGCGTGCTTGATAGCACCACCTTTTGTCAGAAAGACGCTGAAGTTTCAGGCTGGCACATCCAAAAAATCCCTTCCTTGGGGTCCTTGGCTGATGGGACACTTCCATCCAGGGCTCAAGGACCACTGAGAAGCTGCAGCCATCTGGGTTTTCCTCAGGGGTATGAGTTATGTTTATTCTACCATGGACACCAAGAATCTATGTAGATATATTCTAAATCTGTGCATTGGTTTTGTTACAGCTTTCCCTGGAGTCACTAAGAGGTAAAATGCTATAAATTAGAGGTTTTATCTCAGAATAGAACCAGAATGCCAGATGCATTACGGAAGCCACTCCTAATCTTAAGCAAATGTAAACTAGGCCTCATGTAAACGGTTTATGTAAACACACATTGTCCCTTGGTTATGCTGTGCTCCTGGGATCACTGAACAGCAAAGGCAGTGCCCAGCCCTCTCCTGCGGGGGTGCCCAACACCAGCCTCTGACACTGAGTATCTGAGAAAGGGAGGGGAAGCACAGTCCACACCGGGGCATTCCTGCCGCCTCCACCCCTGCCTCCCCTCAGACTGACAATGGTGGTTCATCTCAAACTTCAAATTCTTTAGAAAACCACATTTTCAAATAAATGAGAGACTTAAACAAGAAAAGAGCCTGCTGCAGGAGTTCAGGGTGAGCCTAATCACAGCCCCAGTAGGATTTATTTTGAAACAAAAGTTCCCATACCTTGTAGGCCCCTCACTGTAAGGCACAACATCTTCAAGGGGAAGTTGAAGTTGGGTCTGTTCACTGGTCCCTAGACCACACCTTCTGGTATTTTCTAAGGCAATTCTGATACCACGTTGTTTCTGGGTTTGCCTATTTAAATGTTTGAGCCAGCTGTTGTAGGATTTCAATGAATTTCTCTTCTTCGGCCAGTGAGGAGGACGTTCTAGCGAGAGGCAAGTGTGTAGAAACTGGTTTCCGATCTAAAAGTGAGAGGGAACAGCAGAGGCGTGTTAGCCGCGGCAGCAGAGCTGGGCCTCTGTCCTTGTGCTGCTCAGGCCCTGAAATGACGCCTGCTGGGGAGGGAGTGGTGGTGCCCCGCGGGTGTTAGACCCCATCCTGCCCTCAGAGGTCCCACATGGATTAGGCAGCGTGGGTCGATTGTGAAGTGCAGTTTGGGAACTGGCAGGCTGCACCCAGGGCTGGGCAGGAGACCACGTTTGAATGATCAGTGGGAAGGGGCACGGCCATCCTCCCAGACACCCCAGGGGTCACCAGCGCTTCAGGATCCCTCAAGCAAGGTGGTTTTCTCATCGAGAAGAGAAGAAAGAAGCAGAGCAAAGAGCCTGGCTTCCACCCAAGGTCAAGTGTTCTCTTCAGATGGCATGCACCCATACCCCTGCCTGCTTAGGAGCCCACTTGGGAGAGACGTGAACAGATCACTGCTTCCAAAAATAGAGGCGAGTTGATTACTCCCTTTGCACTGGAGCTTTGAATAGCGCCCTCCTGGGCCTCAGGAAACTGCAGAGAAAATCCCCAAGGTAGGATCTGCCCCTACCTTGTCCCCACAGGACCTTGATGACAGGGTTATCACAAGTCTTCAAAGAATCTACCAATCCGGGGTAAAGTGCTTCCCAAAACTAACCTCAGCAGGCAAAGCAATCATCTCGCCAAAGAAGCCCAGGCACCCCCCAGGGGTCGGTCCCAACCTATGTTTCACGGAGGGGAGGGTGCACCTCTAAGGCCCAGCTGCTGCCCCCAGCCCTGTGTCAGCTGCCTTCATAGCCAGGGAGGAAGTCACCTTGAAAGAAGCGGCCATTGGGCTGCGCCGCTGCGGCGGCGGAGAGGGCCAGCCACAGCACCGTGTCGGCGCCCTGGGCCTCGGAGCGCAGGCGGTCCCTGAACCTGGCGTGGAACCCTGGCATCGCCTTCCTCACACCTGAGAAAAGGAAGGGGTAGGTGGGTTAGGACAGAATTCTCCAGCAAATGTGCTTGACTTCCCTTACTAGAAAAAAAAAAGTGTAAAAAGGAAATTGGATCATAAACTGCTCTTTCTACTTGAAAGTAGCACTCCCAAGCCATTCCAAAGAACCTTGTTAAAAAGCCCCCGAGGTGTCCCTGATGGGCCTGATTGAGTCCCCATGTCCCCGGGACAGCAGCACCCAAGCCCAGCCCAAGAGCAGAGTCTCTGGCAGAGCCCCCCTTTCCACCCTAGGAGAGGATTCTAATAAGCGGTGGGGCCCGCAATGAGGCTGGGTCGAGCAAACCTTGACTCCGCCTCCTGGGTTCGGGCGCCCTCTCAGCCATCCTAGGCTCGGAGGATCCTGGCTGTTGGTTCGTTGGACTGTTTTACTATTTTCCTCTTTTTAGGGAGGAGTAGCTGAGAGGCACTAACTCTTCACTTCCTCTGCCAAGCCCCTTGACGCGTCCCTCCCTCTGCATGCCAGGGCTACAGGGAGGTGTTTGCCTGGAGTAGCCTGCCCGGGCCTGGCCTGTGCCGCAGGTGGCCCCAGGCTGGCCGCTCTACCTGCCCACGACTTCGAGGACCCAGCCACGCAGGCCACACCCCGTTTTCCCACAGACCTCAGGGAACACAGTGTCTCCACAGTGAGCACATTGGGAAACAAAACAGTTCTCTCTGGAAGCCAAGGAAAGAAAAGGAACCAGAGAAAACAACTATTAAGAGCCTTACTGAGATCACGAGCTTTTAGAGATTGAAAGGATCACCTAAGCTAAGGCCCTCCTTTTTTAAATTAAACATCTTTTTTTCTTTTTACAGAAGCAATACTTGTTAAATTGTAGAAAAATCAGAATGCTCTGCTAGGCAAAAATATAAAAATCTGAAAACCTGGTGGTGTATCACTCAGAGGTGACAAATGTCCACATCCTCAGCCCTCCCAGGCCCCTGTGGCCACAGCCAAGGTCATGTGCACCTGAGAGCTGCTCTCTAACCTGTGAGCAATACATGGTAGACCCAGATGACAGATCCCAGTGGAAGGCGTGCCAGGCAGATTTTAAACATCTTAGCTGATGTTGGGATTCTCGGAATAGTATCCTTGGAGGGTAAGAGGCTCGGGGTCCCCCATGGTCCCCTAGAATTCACCCTGCACAGGCAGAAGCAAGCATGTCTCCCATTAGGCAGTCAGAAGAATGAAGAAGCCACACTCCCTGAGCACTCCCCTTGTGCCCTTTGCTGAGAACATCCTTTTTATATTTAAGACAGGAGACTCATCTGTGCAGCAGAGGGCTAATTTCTGCCAAATCTCCAAGCTGGTCTCCATGGGATGTCACAAAGCACCAGCGCACACCTCTTTCTATAGGAATGTATAGTCACAAAAATAAGATCACAAGGTGTGTACTACTCGGGAACTTAGTATCTTCATTTAATGATATAGGGCACACAGGGGTTTTTCCATAGGCATGGTTGACAGCAGTCTTCAGCCCTGAACAGATTTCATACAGGTGTTCCATAATTTATCAGCTTCATCTCCTACCACCAGCACTGTGATAAGCAGTGCTTGTTTTCCCAATCTTTATTTCTTGGGATGAATTTCAAGGCTTCTGATATTCAGGAAGGCCCTGCCAGCAGTATGTGAGAGCCTAATCCCCAATACTCTCTGGCCAGGACCAGCTGGGAGGTCTTAGCCTCTCTGGGCCTCAGTTCCCTCATCTGTAAATGGGTATGATAACAGACAGGAGTGGCCACCCCACGGGGGCTGTTAGGATGAGTGAGTGAATCCGCAGACAGCACCGAGACCAGCTCTTGGCACCGCGGATGCACCCTAGGGTGTGTGCTGTGGCTGCTGCTGCTTTCAGTTCCCTTATCTGTAGAGGAGGAAAAAGCTGCAGAGAGCTGCCTGAGGCCACGGAGTTGGTGAGGCAGACCGGAAAAAGAATTCTGCTCCCCTCCACCGCTGCCCCAAGATTATTGGAACTGTGTCCTTGTGGCCATCATTTACCTTCAAGCATCATTATTTCCAAAAACCTGGGGAGTGGTGAGGCAGCCTGGGCCTCTCCCAGTACCTTCCCTCAGGCCCTGCTCATTCCTGTCTGACATGGAAATGACAGTGGTCAACAGCTCCCTCTCTTGCCAGGATACGCTGTAGTTAGGAGGGCGACCCAGCAGCGCCTGCTCTGGTTCCCACCATCCCCTTCCCTGACTTGCACAGGGCAAGCTGCCAGCAAAAGCTGTGTCTGCATGAGGCTTCCCCCAGGTGCAGTCCCAATGTGCCCCTGCCTAAATGGAAATGAAGCAACTCCTCAGTCCTCATTACGCTGGTTTCAGGTCATTCCTGGGGAGAGTCAATGCTGCAGCTAGCTGCTCAGGTATTTTTAGATGAAACGTAAGTGGCTCAGCAATTAAAGGCTATGACATACCTGGGGTGTCGGCCCAGCCAGGATGCATGGAAGAAAAATGGATGGCGGGGTGTCCTTGGGCCCACCGCTCCGTCAGAACCACTTGCTGCCTCTGGACAGGAGCGAGGGGGTGAACAGGAGAGAGGAGGTGCCATTAGGTGCAAGGGCAGGAGACAAGCCCTGCCCAGCCAGCATCTCTTACACTGGACTCTGCAGTATGTACGGCCCCTTGATAGCACCCTCGTCCAGAATCACTCCTGACCCTGAAGGTCTGAATAGGACCCAGAAGGTTCTGCCCCCTCCAAAGGAGGTAAGAACAAGCAACAAGCAAACCCAGCAAAACGCTGTGAGAGAGAACAGCAGACCCACCACCCATGAAATTATGCCCCTCAGCGCCCAGGTGTCCCTCGTCCACAAATCGCCTGTTTGACTCTATTCTTTGCTGCTCACTGTGAGGGCAGGGGTGGTATCTGTCTTGTTCACTGCTGTACCTCAGGCCCCCAGCACAGACTGGCATGGAGTGGGTGTTCTGCTAATATGGGAATTAAGGCCAGGTGTGATGGCTCACACCTGTAATCCCAGCATTTTGGGAGGCTGAGGCAGGTGGATCACCTGAGGTCAGGAGATCAAGACCAGCCTGGCCAACTTGGCGAAACCCCATCTCTACTAAAAATGCAAAAATTAGCCAGAGGTGGTGGTGGGTGCCTGTCATCCCAGCTACTCAGGAGGCTGAGGCAGGAGAACCACTTGAACCCAGAAGATGGAGGTTGCAGTGAGCCAAGATCACACCACTGCACTCCAGGCTGGGCAACAAGAAAGAGACTCCATCTCAAAAAAAAAAAAAAAAGGGAATTAACTCCTGTCTTAGGCAGAGCATAGCAAATGTCCTGGGAACAATGTACTAGTAAATACATCGGTTATAGACATTAAAATCCTTAAATATTTCCCTTTCCCAGCTGCAGCGACACTGCTACCCATCCCAGGGCAGTCTGAGCATGCTTGGCAGAGACCTCCATCTCTGGGCCTCATTTCTAACAAGTGGATGGTTTCTTCCCATGTCCTCTGGGAAACAGTAAAGAAGTGCGGCTCTTTCAAATGTCAGGATTTGGAGTCATGAGAAGTAATTCACCAGGATTTGGTCTGGGGTCAGGGAGCAAAATTGGGCACACCTGGGGCATACAAGCAGCAGTGGAGGCACAGACAGTCCCAGACAGGGTCCCCTTCAGAAGGCATACAGCACCGACAGGGAAAGCGGAGGGGCTGGCAGCCTTACAGACAATGTGGGCGCCCTACCAGGTGAATTTAAGGGCAAGAACTGTAAATATGGAAGTTATATATATCCGGCTTTTAAATATAGCTGTAATAAGCAGAGACACAGCAGTACAGATTGAGCATCCTTCATCTGAAATGCTGAGACCCAGAAGTGTTTCAAATTTCAGATTTTTTCAGATTTTGGAATATCTGCATATACATATATAATGAGATACCCTGGGGATGGAACTCAAGTCTAGACACCTTATACAAATAACCTGAAGGTAATTTCATACAATATTTTTTTTTTTTTTTTTTTTTTTTGAGACTGAGTTTTGCTCTCGTTACCCAGGCTGGAGTGCAATGGCGCGATCTCGGCTCACTGCAACCTCCGCCTCCTGGGTTCAGGCAATTCTCCTGCCTCAGCCTCCTGAGTAGCTGGGATTACAGGCACGCGCCACCATGCCCAGCTAATTTTTTGTATTTTTAGTAGAGACGGGGTTTCACCATGTTGACCAGGATGGTCTTGATCTCTTGACCTCGTGATCCACCCGCCTCGGCCTCCCAAAGTGCTGGGATTACAGGCTTGAGCCACCGCGCCCAGCCCTCATACAATATTTTTAAAATAATGTTGTGCATGAAACAAAAGGTGTGTTCATGGAACCATCAGAAAGGAAAGGTTTGGGATTTTCCACTCATGACATCATGTCAGCACTCACAATGATTCGGATTTTGGAGAATTTTGGATTTGGGATTTTCAGACGAAGGATGCTCAATCTGTAGAAATCTACTTTCTGTTCAGAGTAGTCAAGGGTTCTGGACTCTGGCCCCTTCAGTCCCTCAAAAGTGTGCAGCCCTCCCAGTGAGCCTGGGCATCTGTCCAGCCAGGGAGCCAGGAGCTGCCCGGAGTAGAGAGGAGGGACCTCATTCCCTCTGAGCAGCACAGGACAATGGATCTCCCTGCTAGGATTCTGTTCTGTTTGGGTCTGAGAAACATCAAGAGGAGACATGGCAGCTTTCTAGCTTCTCCTCGGATGCTGCTGAAAGCCCCCCGGGCCTGAGCAGAGCTATGTTCCCCAAAGAGGGGCCCTCTTAGTCCGGGAACATTTTCAGGTGCTACATGAACTACTAAGGTCCAATTTCTGTGCATCCCAGAGTCAGCTTTCCTTGGAAGAGGGCTGGCACAGACCGTGGGTAAAATGCAGTCTTGGGAAATGCACATCACTGACCTTGTTTTGTGCATAGACCATAGTTCCATCAAACGGTGTCCTTTCAGACTGGAGATCATCAGTGTTCAGTTTCTGAACCAACATTCCTCCTGAGGAGACGGTTATCTGCAATAAAGGTAACAGAGATTTACAAAGTAAAGCCTGTGACCCTTTCCACTCTTCGCCCTCTGTGGAGCAGTGCGTTTGCTATGGCTTGACACCACACACGTATTCTCCTACAGGATTCTCCCTCTGTTCTGGAGGCCAGAAGTCTGAGATGGGGCTCATGCGGCTAAAATCCCAAGTGTCAGCAGAGCCGCGTCCCCTCTGCTGGTTTCAGAGGAGACTCCATGTTTTGCCTTCAGCTTCTAGAGGCTACTCCTCAGCTCACAGCCACATCCTCCACCCTCTGCTTCCACAGTCACTTCTCCCCTGACTCTGGCTCTCCTCCCTCCCTCCCATAGGACCCTTGAGACTCCATCAAGCCCACTTGGATACTCCAGGACATGCTGCTCGTCTCAAGACCCTGAACTGAATTGCAGCTGCCAAGTCCCTTCTGCAATCTAAAGGTGACATAGTCACAGGTTCTGGGATTAGGATAAGAACTTTTGGTGCAGGCTGAGGGGGTGTCATTATTCTGCCCATGACAGCAGAGAGAAGGCAGCCTCCATCAACTGTCTTCCTACTTTCTCCAATGTATGATATTTCAACCCCCTGGGGGAGAACAGGCCCCAGTAGCCAGTCACTTCCCCTCTGAGCAGGAGAGTCCCCAGGAAAAGCACCACCACCCTGACCTGAGTGCCCTACGAGCCGCCCCTGCTCTTCAGAGGCCTCCATCCCCAGCGCTTTCCCGACACACATGTGACAGCTGGGGGTGGGGTTTGGGGGTTCAGAGAGGGCTAGGATCTAAATGTTCTCTCGGCATGCCTCTACCTCCCTCTTGGCCCCCCCGACAGAATTGGGGTTTTGCTGTGGATGTGGACACAATAGCCCCCTTAGGGCAGCCTGGCAGCAAACCTGGGCCCACCAACTTCCCATCAGGAGCAAAGTCCACTACTCTCAAGATATCCCACAAGGTCAACTCACCACTCGAGGGTCGTGTTCTTTCTCCAGCACAGGGATCAGGCCGGTCGTGAGAATGTACACACCTGAGACAGCACACAGCATCCCGTGAGGGGCTGCAGGAAGCCCCATTCAGGGGGTCCTGCAGGGCTGATGTGGGGGCCTGTCTGCCCGCACCCACCCCCCTCAAGAGGGCAAGTGGCCACCTGAGGGGCAGCCCCTCCTGAGGATCCTTCTCTCAGAACTGGAAGGAAGATGCCGTCGAGCCTCCTGTACCAACAGGAAAAGATGTCCACACTACAGATATGCAGGAAGGGAAAAGAAAACTGCCAAACAGCAGGTGGACCCACTTTGCAGAAGGGAAAATGCATCTACATGTCCAGTCTGTGCACAGAAAAATGTGAAGATGAAATTTAGCAATACTGCTTAGGTCTCCAGGGTGGAATTCAGTACAACTTTTCCTTCCTTTGCTATACATACCTGCACTGTTTGGATTTGAGCATTTTTACAGTGAGCATATATAACTTTATGGTTATGTTATATCTTCAATCAAGAAATTACATATAGCCTTTCTAACGGAATGAGAAAAATCACTGAAGTGTATTTGACATGGAGAGACACTCCCGATATATGGAATGAGAAGTTACAGAATGGTGGGAACACCACCATTCCATTTCGGTGAGGAAAGATGTGTCAAGATGAAGAGAAAGTGTCCGCAAGGATGAGACTGGTGCCCTGAACGGTGACAATGCTCATCTCTGAACGGTGGGGTTATCACTTCTACATACTTCTTATACGTTGTATATTCTCCTTATAAATACCTGTATTTTTTTTTTAAACAATGAGCACATATTACTCTGTGCTAAGAGGGCAATACGGGGAGCATTTAAAGCCCCTTATCCCAAAGTGAGGCAGGAATCTAGTTAGGGGCTTCAAGTGGCGAGCCCTGGGCCCTTTTCTGGGCTGCGCCATGGAGCTTCTGTGTGACGAGCTCTCACCACCGCTTCCTGCACCACCCGTGACGTGGCCTGCACCCAGCCCTCAGGAGCTTCCTGACATCATGGGAAGGGTGCTGGAGGCGGATTCAGGGGCCTGCCTCTCAACCCTGGCTCTGGCACCTACCAGCAGTGTGACCACAGGCGAGCACCATGGCATTTTCAGGATATAATAGCTGGCCAGCCCACCTCAATCAGAGGAGTTTGTGGTGGAATAAAAATGTGTGCATGTTCTGCGAGGACTGGAAAGTTCTCTGGGCCGGCCGCGTTTGTCCTGCTCTTGTCGTATTATCATTTGCGATTCTGAGTTGTGACTTTCATCCCAGACAGCATGCTTAGTTGTTCACAGTGCAATCTATTTGGAGGAGTCTGCCTTGTTCGTATTTGCGGATTTGTACGGTCTCCTGAACCCTGGGTCGCTAATAGCTATTAACCTCCAGCCAGTGGTCTTGGACTTTCTTTGTATTCACCTCCAGTGGCTTTCTCTGTGATGTAATTTATGACAAGTAGAAAGGACTTCTGCCAAAAGCGATCTGCCCCGTCAGCCTGCCCTGACGAGTCGTCCTAAATGGCTCTTGCAAGGAAGGGACATGAAAGCCAGCGGCTGGGCTGGCTCTGCTGCTTGCCGAGGGCACCTCCTCTCTCCTCTCAGAACGGCGAGGGCTGGGGTGAGCCCCTTTGCACCTGTCCTCCCTGCCTGGGAGGTGCTCAGCTCTCATTCCCAGTCACCTGCAGGAGGGCTGGCCGGGCTGCTTGTCCCTGCCAAGTACTCTGTCCTCTAGGGGACAGCCAGGTAGCAGGTGCTTTAAAAAAAACTCCTAGAGAACCAGCACAGTTTCCAGCAGTGGGCCTTTCCGATCTTTCTTAAAGTCTCCTTTCTCCCCAAGTCTACAAAAGGTTCCCATGCTCACCCAGCCCCCACAGGGGGCAGAGCTGAGACAGTGCAAGTTTCTGCTCACTTCTAGCCTCCTGGGTCACCAAAACATGCCGAATTCTTCACGTCCAGCAGGCATTCCTCCCCCATGAGACGACAAAGCAGCTCTCTTCCTAGCTACAAGCCATTTATAATCCTCCAACCTCCAGCAGGCCTTCTGGGACCCTTCCTTGCCAGGCCGGCAAAGAGAAACACAATAATCATCTGCTAAAATGATACACAGTATATAAGTATGTAAGTGCATACATATGTGTGTACACATATATGTATGTGTATATATAACCTATTAATGAAAGAATTAGAGTTAGAGAGTCCCAGAGAGGTTCAGTGACTTATCCAAAGTCCCAGCAAATTCATACAATGTGCAAAACAGAGGGCAAATCTCCCTTAATTCTTGAGTCATTTAGCATGCTGCATGCCAACCAATGCCAGGGAGAAGGAAGGTGCCCATCATCTGCAAGTCTTTTTTTCCTCAGTGAACATGGCACCAGCTGCTCCTTGCCCAGCTCACACAGATCCAAATAGGGGCCTGTCATTAACACATGAGCCAGCGTCACTCTCCTGCCCCCAAAGTCCTTTAACACTCTGGTCCCCCATCGAATCAAGCAAAAACTCGGCCTGGTCCAGCACACTTCTTTGGGAGACGTGCCCCATTCCCTCTCTTTAGGTAGGCCCCAAGTACATCCTGTTTATAACAACAAACACGTAACCGAGTCTGCCCTAGGCCAGGCGCTGGGTTTGTCCCACGTGGCCTTGACCCCACAGGCTCTCCTGGGGTCTGGGCCAGGAGGGTGACACCTGGTCCAAGCTGTCCCAGCCGAACTCTCCGTGCAGGAGTGTGAACATGGGACGCCGAACGGAGGACAGGTGACTCAGTGGCAGCCATATGTGACCCAGACGCAAGGAAAAGCAGAGACGGGGAGTGAACAAAGCAGCTGTGGTGAGAGTCCACGGACAACAGTCCCAGGGAAGCAGAAGGTCCCCTCGGCTGCTGACAGGTTCTCTGGTCCTGTCCCTGCCCCCCAAGCCCAGCTGTACCTCTGCCACTAAGTTCTGTGAGGGCTGCCCTTGTAGCCCGTGATAAATCATTTTTTTGTCTAGTCTTCCTGTGTGGGGTCCTGTTACTTGTGACCACACAAACCCTAAGACACTTGGCTTGTCTCAGGAAGTCCACCAGTTCTCCTGAGATAACCAGCCACCCTTCAAAATAAGAATGTCTCACCAGGCACACAATGGCTCACACCTGTAATCCCAGCACTTTGGGAGGCTGAGGCTGGTGGGTCACTTGAGGTCAGGAGTTCGAGACCAGCCTGGCCAACATGGCGAAAGCCCATCTCTACTAAAAATACAAGAATTAGTTGGATGTGGTGGCAGGCACCTGTAATCCCATCTACTCAGGAGGCTGAGGCAGGAGAATTGCTTGAATCCGGGAGGTGGAGGTTGCAGTGAGCCGAGATCGTGCCAGTTATACTCCAGCCTGGGCAACAGAGTGAGACTCTGTCTCAATAAATAAATATATAAAATAATGTCTCTGGACAGACAGGTTAGGCATGGATCTAAATGGTTCATGGGTGTTTTTAGTCATTCATAGCTTTGTGTGAACCAGTTCAACAACTTCCTTTCCTCTAAGACTTCCTATTAATATCAGGGACATTTGGGTGATTCAAGGTTTTGATGAGAGAGAGAGAAAGATATTTTAGAGTACTGAATCCCACAGGAGCCCAGGCCTGGGTGGAGGGAAGGCATTTGCAGCTACTGGAAAAGTTGACCAAGGTTAGTCCTGCTCCCAGTAATAAGGAAAAGAATTCATTATCATTAAGACTCATTAGTATTTTTAATTTACACAATGCTTTTCTTCCAAGGACCTCATTATGTCGATGGAGGTTCATTACGAGAAAGAGATCTGGGAGTAGAATTTATGTTGGACGCAGTCTTCTAAATACGGCAACAAGAATTTTTATCACATGGGTACGTGACTCGAAGCAAATCTATCAGCTAATTAAGAAGGGAGGTGAAACTGTGTCAAGCCCAGGTAACGCTAAAGGAGAGATGCCACGTGTTCTTAGAGCACTGTGAAACCCATGTTTGCGTCCTCCAAATATTAAATTCATCGTGTTTCTGAAATTATAAGGTATCTTGAATATGACATTTTAATAGCATTAAAGGTAATTATTTTTAATGCAAAAAATATATTGCAATTTTTAAACTTAGCATAGGAAATCTGATTGGCATTTCTATTAAGAAACCTTCAAAGCCACCTTGAATTAAAGCTACTTTGGTTACTGGCCAATGGGTTGTGTACTTCCGTCCATTCTATCTGCCGGAGAAAATCATTGTCCTGTTATTGCTGGGAAGTTTCTGGCGTCAATTTTAAAGGAGCAGACAGCTGCACTGGGGAACACCATTTGGTACTTCTTTTGTAATGGAAACAAAAACATCCCACAGCGAGCCTGGGGGCTCACACACTAATCTCACAAATTATATAAAGATGATTTCAAAGATCACATTACCTGGAGAAGCCAGCAGGACAGAGTCCCAGAGAAAATGAGCTATTAGAAGACATTCGAGGCACTGGCCTCTTATGGAGTATTCTTGGTTTAGGCTCAGAGGGTGGTTAGCATGAGTCATGCCTTCCCCTTTGCCCCCAACCTCAACTCACCCCCACCACCTTATCCAGTTTCATGGACAGAACAAGTATTTATCAAGGGCCTGCTGAGTGCCAGACCCAGTGCTAAGTACTCAGGATACAGACTGAGGGCTCCCTGGCCTCTCAGTGCCCACCAGGCATTCCCAGGCATTATACGTGTTACTACGTGACTAAGCTACACTCATGATCGAGGTCAGTGCTAGGCTGCTATGGGCGCGTGGGGGTTCTGCATGAGCTGTAAAGGGCTATTTCAGCTAAGACCTGGAGGAGAGGTGGGAAAAGGCAGGTGGAGGGCTGGGGATAGGAAGGAGGGCTGCGGGTATGGAGCACAACCTGTGCAAAGAGGCCCCTGAGGCTGGAGAGTGCAACCAGGGCAGCTGCAGCCCAGTGAGCACGGCAGGGGTTAGGGCAAGGTGAGGCTGCAGCTCTGAGGGCAACGCCACATTCACTCACCCAAGGGGTGACTTTAAGCAGAAGGAAACAGATTTGCATGCATAAGGATCACACTGT